TCCTAGGTAATCTAATAAGACCCTCTCTCAAAATAAAAATGGCTGGGGATGTAGCTCAGTGGTAGAGTGCCTCTGGATTCGGTCTCCAGTGCTGCAAAAGGGGGAAGGGATGTGTGAAGAATTCAGGACAGGGTCAAGGAACACACTAGAGGAATGTTTCCTCCCACAGGCAGGGAAGCTGGGCAGTCAGAGCCCCACATCAGTTAATGAATGGCTACAGGCCATCACTGGCACCCCTGGGATTAAATAGCCTATTGAAGATCTTACCTTATTTCCTATACTTTCTCAGTTTCAATCATCTCCACTTCTCCCCAACCACTTGGCAGACACAGGCAGAGCCATTTCACGAACATGATTTCAGACTAAAATAATAATCTCTGATCAGAGCCAACTTCCTGTCTCTTTGCTCCCTTTCTTTCTCTTATCAGTCCAGTTTCACCTTCACAGTCACATCTGTCCTCCCTTGCACTCTTTCTGCAGGCCTCAATCTGTTCCTCTCATCACTTTCATCTCCAGCCTGGACCATGCGATCAACCCGAGGACCCAGGCTCTCACTATTTAATCTGCTCTGTCCTTATCCTTTCCTATCCATAGTTATTTACTAGGCACTATTTATGCCTAGTAGAATGCCAGTTTCACCATCTTGGCTTAACAACCTAATTTCCTTTGAAGAGCTGCCTAAACTGTCACTTCATCTAGGAGATATCTTCATTTCACACATCCAGGTGACTGCAGGGACTTTAGGTATTTGGAGCTCCCCATCATCTCTTTTACCTTTCTTGTTACCTAAATTTTCTTTTGAAACCTTGTAGGAATTATTTAGAAGCCCTGTGATCCTTAACTAAACCCATCCGACTTACTGTCTGTGGAGTCTGTTGCAGAGAGGGGAAGAACCTAAAAGGGTAGAGTTCCAGTCCATCTCATAGCAGCACCTGCCTCTCTGCCTCTAGAAATGCTTTGGGTCTGCCTCTGTCCTTTGCTTCTATAAGCATTCAACAGTCTCCCAATAAGTTTCCTTTCCTTAATCAGAAAATGTTTCTATTGTTTGCATACAAGGAGTTCTTTTATTTGTATATGGTGCTTAAAACCTAAAACCCGCAGTAAACAAGTCTGCCTTCTTGACAGGCTCGTCTTTATCAGTCACTATTAGAGATCAACCAATCCTCCTACTGCCTAGAAAGAGGGATGGCAATGGCTAAAGAAAAAAGAATAGAGACATGCACAATTTCAAGTATGCAGGGGCCCAGAAGGTCAGTGCCTCAAAGAGGGCAAAGACAAAGGCTTTCTGAGCTTGCCACTATTTATTGGGACCACAGGGAATATCATATGACTCAGAGGGTGGAAATAATCCTAAATGTCTCAGTAATGATGAAAGTGACTAAGACAAGAATAAGAGTTAAAACAAGAGTTTATTCAGGCCAGATTACACTGTCCAGGAAAACAATGGGCTCTCGCTAAGCCATCTTGCATGGGAATCATCTGTTTAAAGACTTTAACTCTAGACCAGAGATTTAGCTCAGTTTCACTACCTTCCTTGCATGCACAAAGTCTCAAATGCAATCCCCAGTACCAAAAAGAAAAAAAAAAAAAAGACTAAGATAGTGAGGATTGGGACTTGAACATAATGGATTTGCGGGGGACACACAATTTGGGCCATAACAATATCTAAGCAAGACAGAGTAATGATAATGAGGCAGTCTACAAATTCTACAAATTATATCACTGACAAACACTGAAATATAAACTCATCTCATTGGAGCATTTTCTGTACTCACTGTCATCTTTATTTTTTTAATTTTAATTTTATTGATACAATTTAGATATACCTAATAATCACATTCATCATAGGGAATTTGTACCTGTACATGATGTATCTTGAGTCCTCTTTTTTTCCCCATTCCCCTCCCCTGCTTTCAACCCCTCTTTCCCTCCCTATTTACAAGAGTTCCATTTCCATTTTTTCCACCTTTCTCATTTTTTCTCTCTTCCTTCTCCCCTCCCCCTCCCTAGTTCCCCTTCCTTTGAATAATTTTTTCCTATTTCACAATTACCTATTATACATTTTGGTTCCTATTTACACTTTTAGTTTCTTATACCAGAGAGACAATGAAATATTTACACGTGTGTCTGATTTATTTCACTTAAGAGTATAGCTTCAAGATGCATCCATTTAGCTATAAATGTCTCAAATTTATCTTGCTTTATGGCTGAATAGGAAGTATTCCATTATACAGAAAAACAACATCTTTTTCATCCATTCCTCAGTTGATAGGCATGTGGATTGTTTCCAAGATTTAACTATTACACACTGTGTTGCTATAAACATGGGTGTGTATAGATTGATGTGGTATGATGATTTTGATTCTTTCAGGAAGATACCCAGGGAAGAATAGATGGGTCAAATGGGACCTCTAATCCTAGCTTTCTGAGGAATCTCCACATTGATTTCCACAGTGGTTACACCAGTCTGCACTCCCACCAATAGTGGAGAAGTGTTCCTTTTCCACACAACCCCTTCAGCATTTGTTGTTGGTTGATCTCTTGGTATTAGTCATGACCAAAATAAATCCACACCAAGGCATATAATAGTCAAGATTCCAGAAACTCAGCACAAGAGCAGAAGCTGTTAAAAGCTGTTAGAGAACAGAACAAATCACCTATAAAAGAAAGTCCATCAGAATTGCAGTAGACTTCTCAACACAAACCCTTAAGGCAAGGAGAGCCTGGAGTAAAGTATTTCAAGCCCTAAAAGAACAATCTCCAACCCAGATTGATGTAACGCACAGAATTATCTTTCAAAATCAATGGAAAAATAAAATATTTCCATGACAAAGAACAATTGAAGAAATTCATGACCAACAAACCAACTTGCTGCCATCTTGAATTGACATCTGGTACAATTATTCCTCACTCTTTCATTCCTGAGACTCATTCCCCACACTCTTTCCTAAGGTAACGGTCAAGCTCCTCTCCAAGCAGAACAGCCATCCTGTGGCTGACCATTCAGAGAACTCCAGACTCAGGAAGGGCTTTTCTGTCAATTCCAGAATCATCTCAGAATATTTTCTAACTACTCAAAATTTGGAAATTGTCAAACTATGTGAAATAAATTAAAGAATCATCAAGATATCATCCTCTGATGACTGAGTTTTCTTATAGTAAAAAAATTGAATTCAGTGCTTTTGGGAAGCTAAGAAAGAAAAACTATGTACAAAAATAAAGCCATGGATAGGAATTTGCAATGGTAAATCATTTCTCATATGTATATTCATAGAAAGTCAAACTTTCAAAATTTATTCTCACACGTCTGAAAGCATGATAATGGGAGCAATTGCTATTCCACACACAGATTAGTAGGTTTTTCCTATTATTTTTTCCCCTTTTAATCATGAGTATAAATAACATAACTCAAAGCAGAGATTAGATGCTAAAATTTCTGGTGTTTCTAACTTGATTGAATGACTTGAAGCACTTAAAATAATTTTAAATTGGCTTTTTAATTAATTTTTTTAACTTACAAAAGCAAGTAGACAACTCTGATAGCCTGTCAGGAAGAAAAAATAAGAACCACTTAAAGTTTTTTGTGGTCTTGTTAATGAGGCATCAAATTCCAAATGCCTTTCCTTTGAAATGACTTCAGGCACTGTTCTCCTAATCAGAGATTTCACTGAGTATTGTACTGAACTTCAAGAGGCACTGTGATATCTTGAAAGGTGGGTGTGTGTGTGTGTGTGTGTGTGTGTGTGTGTGTGTGTGTTGAGGGGAAGAGCTGTAAGTCTGACTTTTCTTCCAACCAGCTTTCCTCATTGATAAAATGGTAACAATGTCTAAAATTTGTGAAATGTTCTATAAATGCTTAAGAAATAGCCTTATTGCAGCAGGAAAATTTGTCTTTATATTTCCCTAAATACTATAAAATTGACTCTACATCCCCACCCTAGAAGGCCAGTTATTATTGGCAGGCTGTATATCTTCACCAAAGTCTGAAGAAGTTTGTTAGGATGGTAAGAAGACCTAAGCAGAAGAAAAAAAAATTGCGGTACTAGGAATCAAACTAAGGACCTTGTGCTTGCAAAGCAGATGCAGCAGCACTGAGTTAAATTCCCAGCCCATAGAGGAAAATTTTAAATAATGCCTCCTCTGCTGCTAGGTACATACCCTTCATCTTGGAGAAGCCTGTGCCTATGTCCTCATATTCTTTTGGAACTTTATGGTGTTGTGATTTATCAACCATGCCCCAATAAGGGAGGCATTAACAGCCAGGACTGAGAACCTGTGCCTAACATCTTGCCTCTAGAGTACAGCAGGTATACTGGTCACTTTTCCGTCTCCGAGAGGAAATTTCTAACACCTGTGGCTGAAAGGAGAAGAAGCTTATTTTGGCTCATGGTTTCAGTAGCAGCAGTCCATGGTATGCTGGCTGCACAGCAAAAATAGCAGGGTGGAAGGAAGGAAGTTGTTTAAACCATGGCAATTAAGAAGCAGAGAGAGAGAAGCAAGAATACACACCCTGCCAGGTCACACTTCCAGTGACCGGCCCTCTCCAACTAGGCCCCATCTCCTAACAGAACCTTCCACTATGAACTTCTCACTGGATTAATCCATTCATGAGTATAGTGCCCCACAATCCATTCATCCCAATAGCTTAACCGCTGAGCATGAGTCTTTTGGGGGGCATTTTGATTCTAAACTATAGCACTGCCTTTTGCTTGTAGAAACCTGGGAGGCTGGGAACATCTCCCGCCTTCTCACTTTAGAAGTATCTCTTTGCCTTCCACTCCCCAGAACCTCTCACAAAACAGAAGTTAATTTTTTAAGGGAGCTTCTGCCTTCTGCCCTCCAAATACCTCTGAGCTAGAGAGCAATACCAAGTTATCCTTTTGAAATCCAGATATTTAAAAAAAAAGCAAACAAACACAAAATTCTAAATGCTAATGCAATATCAGCACCTTTAAAAAATATAAACCAAATTATTATTTTCTTTATTTTTTCACACATAGTAAAAGAGCAAGTAAAGAAAAATTTCACAGATGAAAGAGATGAGCTCTTTAAGATGGGCATCAAGATTCTCCAGAAGTCTAAAAGCCAAAAACAAAAAGCAGAGTAAGTCTTGATCTAGTTACTCTAGCCAAATTTTATTTCCATGTTAAGAAAAACAATCAAAGCCATGTGTGACAGTGCATGCCTGTAATCCCAACATTTCGGAGGCTGAGACAGGAGAATCGCAGCGAGTTTGAAGCCAGCCTGGGCTACATAGTGAGTTCGAGGCCTGCCTGAACTAAATAGGGAGACCCTGTCTGAAAAAAGTTTTTCAAAATCCAATTTGTTACTAAAAGCTCATTAGGACAGCAAATGAACTTATTTGCCTGTAAGCTTTCTTTTTAAAAAGGAACCACTGAGCTAAATCCCCAGCCCTGGGGTTTCTTTATATTAAGTTAAATGAAGAATTAAGGCACTGATCTGAGCATTCAAACAAAAAAATTGTTTTGGCTTTAATTTATTGGATATTTCAAACAAAATTAAATGTGTTATTTGAATTAGAGCAGTTCCTGTTTTAACATGTTTTACTCTGTCTGAGCATTTGTACAGTACCTTGTTTTCAAAGCACTTGGAATCATGCATGTAATTCTATTTTATCTCCATATTAGTCTTAGGAGCCAAGAAGTGCTTCATGTTTCCCCTTTAAAATGCTGGGAATAAAAACTGAGATTTTAAAGTCCTATAACCGCAAAAAATGGCTGGGAGGTAACCAAGCTGTGACTATATGGTCTTACTCCACACATATTCTTCCTCTTTCCACTTGTCTACCTTGTCTAGAGGGAGACAGAAATACCTTCTCCTCCTCAACCACACCTCCCAGTGGAGGGGTACAACTTGAGCTTTAAGGCTCTAGCTGTGATCTCAGGATCAAATCCAAGCTCTTATTTACTGGCTGTGTGGTTTCTAAGCATCTTTGTGCTTTCAATAATAGTCATCAGGAGATGTGTTTCTTGTTTGTATCTCTAGTGCAGGCAAAGAAAGCGAGTGTGTTTTGAGCCAGTAATACCTATAATGAATGGGCCCTAAAATCTAATAAGAGGGCATCTCTTCTTTTTGCACAGAATAGGAACACAGGCCCAAGGAAGCATCCCAAAACTGCACTAGCCAGTCCTAGACAGAACAGCAGAATTCATAAATCCTCTCATAAAATCCTCAGGGGAGTATACAAAAGGATAAAGGATGAGAGGTGCTCAACTGTGACCCTGGTTAAAACATCATCAACTTCCATTATCAAGCATCTACTCTGTGTCAATTATTGGTCCAGGTGCCACCTAACAAGAAAAAGGAAGTGAGGCAGTTTTTCTCCAGGGCAGTTTTTCTTGCAGCTCTTTACAAGAACAAAGAAAACACCCCCACCAAAAACAAGGCCTCTAGATTAACAGCTTTGTGTTTGGTCATGACAAGATGGAGTAAAATCAGATACCAAAAATGCAGTGGACCCATGACTTCGAACTCAGTTCATTCACAAGATCTGGTTGTAACTCAAGTTAGTCAGTTGTAGGCTCAGACTCTTCTACACAGCCTTCAAAGTCTCTCTCCTGAGTACAGGCAGATCTAAGTTTCCTTAGAGAGACACTGACCCAGGATTTCTCAGTTAACCTCACACAGGAAAGGATGTTATAATGTTCCTTCCAGAACTCTTTAAGGGCTAAATCTGTATCCAAGACCATCTAGAAGCACAAGTGACTGGCATTTGGGTCATAACTTAAGACTTTGAACATTAAAACCAAAATCCTGGTCATAACCCAAGTTGTTAGTATGTCAGGCTGGTTGTTACTTGAGGGTACACTGTACCATTTAGCCTACTGAGGACATCATCTCACTAAGGCATCCACTGAGTGAAAATAGGGAATTTTTCAACCCAGCCAAGCTAGATGAGAACAATGGAATTCTGAGAAGAAGCTGGTTCCCTAAGGTTTCAGACAAGCTCTGCTTGTAGCAGAGCCGCCCAAGGAGAGGAGAAGCTGACTAGTGTGCCCATATAATCCAGCAAAACCCCCAGATTCAGTCTAACCCACAAAATAACTCTTAGAAGGTGTCAAATAACTATCCACTTAAGGATAGTTAAACCTCTTTGGCTTAAAGAAGAGGAGAAAACAGTCTTAATGCAAATCATCTATCAGTGTGGGAACCTCATTCCCAGGCTATTCTTCCCAGACCTTTTGATCCAGTCTTTGCCCAAGAGTGACAGACAGCAGCTTGTTTGCACTTCAGCACAGATACATCTATGGATAGTGGGTACCTAATGCTAATCTTCTGAATCTTCTGAGTTTGTAGCAAAGGAGGAATGAAACCAAATCTGCTCAAAGCAAGACATTCCAAGAGTTTGTGGGAAAGCTGGGCAAAGCCACTTGCGTTACTAGAATAGTCTGTTCTTGCCTTAAGCTAGTCATACCTGTATGGTCACACCTAAGACTCATAAAGGCAGAGAGAAAAGTGAATGTGTGCCCTTCCAACCAGAAAGGAATCGTTTCATTTACATTTATCTCTCTATCCTACCTCCTTGCTTTGCTAGTTTCCAGGATGGGATGGCATAGAAAGGAATGAAGCTAGTCTTTTTGGTTCACCCACATCCACATTCTGGCGCAAATAATTATATATATTCTTACATATGAATATATATTTATATATGAATGAGAACATTGTTGAATAAGTCAGTGCTGTTAAAAATACAGATGTGATGCAATCATATGTCACAAACTTATTTGAGGTAGTTAGGAAACCTCAGTGACAACCAGGGTTGTTCCCTCATTAAAGACATTCATCATAGGCAAAGAAGGTTTGGAGATAAGCTGCTGTTCCACATCAAGTTACCTATGTGCTGGAGAGGCATTCAGCCTGACCTTCCCTGGCCTTAATATCTCCACCCTATAGCCACATTAGTTAGACATGATCCAGAGAGCTAGCTAAATTTACTATAATTTGTCCCGTTGCTCAGTTTCTCCTACTTGTTTGCCTCTCCGATATTTCAGCCTAGATCTTCATTTTGCCTAACCAGAAGCAACTCTCTTCAGCCTCCTGCTTCTAGTAACCCTTACTTCACCTTGGACTCTCCTGGCAGGAAAGCCATGCATTCATCTTACCCATAGAAACAAAGACAAATACAAAGATTTTTGCCGGGGGGGGGGGCATAGCCTATGGCTGCCCCCAACAACAGACTGGATACACTGTATAAAATATAGGACACCCCCACATCTCATATCAAGCTTCTGTGGCTTGGTCTTTGGTGCACTTCTCATCCCAATAAACTGGACAGTTACAGCAGTAAGACAGGTGACAGAAGAGTTCAAGGGAGTCTGTATCTAATGCCAGATTCTCTTCTTGATGCCTAATCTGGGTGCCAGACATTTACGTTCCAGCCTCCGATTTTTTTTTTTTTTTTTTTTTTTTTTGTTTGTGTTTTTTTTTTTTTCTTTTTTTTTTTTTTTTTTTTTTTTTGCCAGTTGGATTTCTGTTTTCTATCTCTTTTTGTTCCTCTACAGTCTGTGTTGATACCCAGGACTCTAATGACTACTCTCTGGCTGAAATCTTTCTTGTGCAGTCTATTTTACTCCAGTCTTTGCCCAAGAAAGCTTCTTTTAGTATCTGTATGGATAGGCTGTAAATAAAATTGAGTCTCCTGATCATTCTGAGGTGGAAGCAATGGCAAATGTGCTTGTATCTTCCTATACTTGAGTATTTGAGTCAAAGTCATGGATAGCAGTTATGCTTTCTGGTCCTGCCACTACCAAAAAGGGAAGTTCTAAAAGTAAAAATAAATCCCCAAAGTACTTTTTGTCTCTGACACATGTTTTGACCTTGCAAAACTCTCCGTCACTACTTGTAACCCAGAGCAGATCCAGGTGATTGATTTGGACTCCAAAATACAGTGTAAGGTACGCCTACAACATCTATATTCTTAATCACTGAATTTTCACACCATTTACCATCTAATTTCAGAACAATTACTATGTGCTATAAAAATTTAGAATCAATATAATAATAGTTCCAGTAGTAATAGCTAAATTTATTGAGTGCTTAATCTGTACCAGGCACTCTGTCCACTTCACAGGGATTATCTCATTTAATCTTTACAGAAACCCTATCAAGTAAGTGCTACTATTATTCCCATTTTAGAGCTGAAAGCGGCACAGTGGAGAAAAATAACTTGACTGAATGTTTCGAACTAATAAATGGTAGGGCCAGGGTTTGAACCCCAACTCTAGAGCCCTAGCCATTACAGGTTTGTTCATTTTTTCATTTTCCAAACAGTATGTATAGCTTTGCTCAAGAATAGATCCTGTTTTAGAAAGTTATTTTGGAGCATATCATCATTCTCATGATATAAACTTCTTAGATGTGACATTACAATTTTGATTATTCTTATATTTTCAGAATTCATTTTATTAAACAAATACTTGTAAATAAAGGGTCTGGGCATAGGGAGTTCCCTATTTTAAAATATGTATCTCAATATTTTGAGTCACTTGGTATACAGGCTGACACCATGGTATATCCTCTGTATTTTGCCTTTTTAGTGGGTTCATTGTATGTTACATTTTTTGAAGTTATAATCTTACACTGATCCAAAGATGAAAGAAATATACTAGCCCAGAGATGTGATGGACTTCAGCTAAACTTCAGTAACACTTGTGTCCTACTTCTAAGAGAGAAGTCACATGAAGGAAGGAGCAGGAAAATTCACTTTTGTAAATCATCCTTCTGACTTTATATTCTTGAAACAGGGCCTACATGGTTTTTGCCAAAGCAGCTGATATGGGAAATTTGAAAGCTATGGAGAAAATGGCTGATGCTTTGCTATTTGGAAATTTTGGCCTGCAAAACATAACAGCAGCTATCCAATTATATGAGTTCTTGGCTAAGGAAGGATCGTATAAAGCCCAAAACGTGAGTTGTGAAAGAAAATAAAACCTTAAATAGCTACATCCTTAAATGACTACAGGTAAATAATATATAAAAAAGAGTTGAGCAATAGTATTCACTCCCAACTGCATGAACCCAGACCTAGGGAGGTTACCATCATGAATGGAAATTGTGGTGTCAGAACAGGGAACACAGCACGAGCACAGAGTAAATTGTCCTAGCTCTATAGGTGACTTTCAGCGACAGAACTGCTCTCTAATCCACCTGCCTATCTTTCATATCCACATGTGTGCGTTGAGATCATTTGATATCTTTGAACCCCTAACACAGTTAAATTTGTATATAATGCATCCAACTACTAGAAGATATATGAAACTAATCTATTATCCTACAGTGTCAGGTTTGTCTGATTTTTACATTTCAAATATGTTCTACCTAAATATATTCCCCCTTCTATTGCAATAAATGTATTTCATTTTATTCCACAAATAACATAACCATTTCATGTAAAATCTGGAAAACAGAAAAAAGCCCTTCACAAGCCCATCATTGTAACTCAGCTACTGTGAGGTCTGCTTTGTAGTTTTACTTGGCTTCCTTCTCTGTATGTCTCTCTTTATATCATCCTAATTATAATTCAAGTGCGTATATCATTTTGTTTCTGGCTACTTTTGCTGAATGGTGTAGCAAAAGCATGTTTTATTGTTATTATAGTCTTTTTATGAAAAAAAATTACTACAAAACAAATTCATGGCCATTAACAAAAAAAAAATTTGAGAATTTGGAAAGAATAAAAAAGAAAATAATCTAAAAGCTTTCTACACAGAAATCTTTTTTGTCACCTTCCAATAAAATGCAAAAACTAGGCTTTGGATCAGACAGAACTAAGTTTGAAATACACTGTGACATTTTCTTATTGCATGAGCTCTTTAACAAAACATTTCCCCCTTGTTTTGTATGAGAATTTGATCTTTGGTTCAATCCAATTCTGTTCCTAGGTAATCTTACAGGAATAAAATGCTAACTACATTTTTAGTTAGCATTGCTTGTGATACAAATGGCTGCTTGCAAATTGTCTTTGTAATGAACTGTAAAACCGGGGAGGGGGATAGTACTTCCTATGGGGACCCTGTGAATTATACCTGTGGAGTTGTTGCATGGGGAATGAAGTGTTTACAAAATGGTGGCTTTCACATCTCTTTGCATCAGAGTCACCTTCTGAAGGGTCCAATACAATGGCTCCTGGAGGACTGTGCGACCTCCTCTAAGGACTCCTGTGGAAAGGAAGGCTGATGCTGCCCTGCTGGACTGTGGTTCTTGTGTTTGATCCACCTGAGTAGACTATGGGCAAATGTAATATAAGGGGGGTTCCTATGAATTTGTATGTTGAGTTGAACCAAAACAGGTTCATCTGTAAAGTGAAGATAATGGTAAAATATCGGATACTGTGTCTGTTCCATTGGTATAGTGTTGGTGTATCTCTAATACTTAGCACAGTGTCTGGGATAAGAAATATAAATTAGAGGGCCAGGGATTCATCTCAGTGGCTCTGCTGCCTGCCTGTCAAGCTCAAGGTTCCGAGTTTGATCCTGGGACCAAATACACACACACACACACACACACACACACACACACGCACGCACATGCACATTAGGAAAGTTATTAATTAATGATGAATTACTTAATGTTATTATGAGGATTAAAATAATGTGTGAGGGCATTAAATATCATACCTGTAACATGGTAATCACTCAAATAATAAAAGGAGGATGGTGGCAAGGGTGGGTATGGGAAAATGATACAAAGTTTCAGCTAGAGAGAAGAAAGATATAAATAATATTATTTTACACGCTCCCACTATTAGTCTTCCAGAATTTTTCTTATGGGTTTATAGAATTATTTGTTACAAAAATGAGATAATATTTATTTGCTACTCCTTAACTTGTTCTTTATTTACTTAACAGTTGGCATAGATATATTTCCATGTAAATATATTCAGATCAACATCATCAACTTAAAGATCCATACAGTTTTAATTAACTTATTTTATTGAATGCTGTTTTTACTCCATACAATTTTTCTTTGAATTGCATTGACATAACCCAATAAACTGATTTTTAAAAGTTATTACAAAACTTAAAAATGGTTAAATCTGTTCCTGTATTTGTCTAACCAAAGATACAAAGTTCTAAGGCAAACTAAATGTTACCATCATTTCAACCACTGAAAATGATATTACCTAATTCCTTTTCAAACTAGTGACTTTGAATTTAATTTTTCAGTTGTATATAAATTAAGTTGATATCCACTACATTACAGTTAGGGCATATATGAAGGGCTATAGGCATAGAAGACAGTCTGACTAGTTCTGCCTAAAGCAACACTTGAAAGAAACAATGACATTTGTGCTCAAATTAGAATATTGGATAAACAATACCAAAGATGTTACTTGTCTGTATCTAAATAAAGCATTTGCTACAAAGTCAAAATATTAGCCTCAGAAGAGAAATTCCAAATTAATACAAATAGTACATGAAACACATGGATGTAGAGCTGAAGTCAAAGTTCAACTATTTTATGTGGTTATTATTCATATCTAGGTGCCCCCTCCAAGCCTGTTAAGGTCATAGAAGGGGTTTTGCAGAGGTGGCTGGATCTAGGGTATGTGATGCTGAGATTCAGGATCGATGCTGGAATAAAGGATGTGAACTGGAATTAAGAGTTCCCCACCCTAGGTGTGAATGCTATCTACTCCAAAAGATGGTTAGCCTGAATGAAATATAAGGGACAGAAAGGCTTTCTGCTTTTGCTGCTTTGGTGCTTGCTGCTGCAGCCTTATGCTTGCCAGGCCATAAATTTTTGCTCTTCTACAGTGTCCCTCTGCCATGCTACCCTCCCTTAGAGCCAGCTAACTATGGACCTCTATAAAATGTAAGCCTAATAAAACTTCCCTCCGTTAACTTTGGGTGTTTTGTCTCGGCGACAAGAAAAGTAACACAGATTTTAGGACCTGAGAAGTGGGGCCATTGCTGTGACTGTACCTGACCATGTGGTTCAGGAACCTGTGGAATTTGGCTAATGGGAAGAGTTTGGGAAGGTTTTGAGATACCAGCTGAAGAAGCAGCTCTGGAATGCTTTAAATTGTACTTGATGAGAGATTCTGGTCAGAGCTCAGAAGACAAAATTGCTGCTGGAAATGCTGCTGGTAAAGACCAGGCACAAGGGAGGACTGCATTAGCTGCTGGACTCCAGATCATATGTGTTACACTTTGGCTGCATTTTGCCCTTGTCTAGAGACTAAAACAGATTAAGGATGGCAGACTCATTAATCTTGCAGAAGAAATTTCAAGGTAGTCTAATGTCGAAGCTATAGCATGGCTACTTTTGGGGGCCATTAGCCAAATTCATGTTGAGAATCAAGTAAAGAGTCCAAAATGATTGAAGATGTTTTGAGTTTGGCCAGAAAGGAATATATTATAAAGTTGAGGACTACAAAGATGAAGAAGAGAACTTGGTTGCTGAGAAAGGAATGAGACACTAGAAAAGATGGCCTGAGGAAGTAACAAGAACAAGCAGAACCCCAGCCTTTGCAGTCTCAAAATTGCAAAGGTGTAGGGCCAGGGACTTAGGTCAGTGGTTCCACCACCTGCCTTGCAAGCGAAAGGACCCAAGTTCAATCCCCAGCACCACCAAAACAAAACAAAACAAAAAACAAAGGTGAAAGACTTCGCTTTGAGATGACAGCCCCAGAGAACCATGTTCCAGAATGGAGGCAATCTAGGGAAGTTTTTCTTCAGGATTTGTATACTAGTGCTCAGCAATCCATGCACTTGATCCCCTATATCCAAGAGAGAAGAAATCTTGGCTGCTTCCCACACTGGTGCCAGACCTTGGCATCACCCATGTAGTACTGGTTTTAGGTGCATTCAGAATACAAATTGTGGGTCAGGGAGGCTTCCACTCAGATTTCAGAAGAAAGTCTGGGAGGACAGGAAGTGTGTTCCTGAGAGGACAGTGTGTGAAGCTGTGAGTATGAAGCCAAAGGTGTAGTAGAAACCTCAGAAGGCTGGAGAAACTAGGAACGTGGATCATCTGAGAAAAACTGCATGGAAGGAGTAGAGCCAGACCAAGAGAATCCATGGGAGATACCACAACTGACAGTGCCATGGGGCAGAACCACCTAAGCACTTTGGACTCTACAGCTTGCCACAGATTGCACCAGATGACTGACAGAGAACCATAGGACTTAATGATTGTACTGCTGAATTTTGGACTTGCTTTGGTCTTGTTCCTTTTTATCCCCTATTTGTACCTCTTAGAATGGCAGTGTTTATTTTGTACCACTATGTGTTGGAAGTGTTCAACTTTCTTTTCATTTCTGCAGGGGCTCACAGCTAAGAGTTTGCCTTAAATCTCAGGAAACTGTGGATGTGGAGTTTTCAGCAATGCTTTAACTGTTAGAACTTTGAAAACTCTTAGAGATTGATTAAATGCCTTTTGCATAAAGGGATGTGCATGAGTCTTTGGTAGGCCAGGGTCAGACAGTTCAGGCTTGTACCTAGATGTCCCCACAAAGCCTCATGTAGTGATAGGTGTGGCTTTTCACAGGTGTCTGGTTCTAGAGTACGTGGTTACTGGATTTAAATGTTTCATGCCCTAAGAGTGAGTTAGCACGATTGGCCTGATATGCAAAATTTAACCATCCTAATTATTGATACAATGAAACGTTACAATATTGGTTGATAAAAAGCCTCTGACCAATGCCCTATTCTGTCCTCCCTAACATTTTGGACACCCATATTCCTCAGATCGCCTTCCCACAACATTTCCCTTCAGCAAACATCTGGATGAGTAGTAGGCCTCTTCTCCAGCACTTCAGCTGGATTCTACATATTGACTCTCATGCCTGTCATCACTCTAGGAAAATCTGTTTCCAATTGCAAGTCCTCTTGTGGTTAATTTATTTGCTGTTCAAAGAACAATTAGTTAAAGAAACTTAGTGCAACAAATAATGCTTAGTTCAA